AGGATCTGAGTCCAGACGCCTGTAATCTGAGTCCAAACGCCTAGGATCTGAGTCCAAACGCCTGTAATCTGAGCCCAAACACCTGTAATCTGAGTCCAAACGCCTGTAATCTGAGTCCAAATGCCTGTAATCTCAGTCCAAACGCCTGTAATCTGAGCCCAAACTGTAGATCCAGGACTGAGACTGTAGATCCAGGACTGAAGATGTAGACCCAGGAATGAGGCTGTAGACCCAGGACTGAGGCTGTAGACCCAGGACTGAGGCTGTAGACCCAGGACTGAGGCTGTAGACCCAGGACTGAGGCTGTAGACCCAGGACTGAGGCTGTAGACCCAGGACTGAGGCTGTAGATCCAGGACTGAGGCTGTAGATCCGGGACTGAGGCTGTAGACCCAGGACTGAGGCTGTAGACCCAGGACTGAGGCTGTAGACCCAGGACTGAGGCTGTAGATCCAGGACTGAGGCTGTAGACCCAGGACTGAGGCTGTAGACCCAGGACTGAGGCTGTAGACCCAGGACTGAGGCTGTAGATCCAGGACTGAGGCTGTAGATCCGGGACTGAGGCTGTAGACCCAGGACTGAGGCTGTAGATCCAGGATTGAGGCTGTAGATCCAGGACTGAGGCTGTAGACCCAGGACTGAGGCTGTAGACCCAGGACTGAGGCTGTAGATCCAGGACTGAGGCTGTAGACCCAGGACTGAGGCTGTAGACCCAGGACTGAGGCTGTAGACCCAGGACTGAGACTGTAGACCCAGGATATTTATTTCAAAATCTATATTACTACATTTTCTGTGTATTATTTTTATCTTAAATTTAAAGAAATGATGAGAGTTTAAAAAGAGCCAAACCAGCTGCATTTGCCCCGGGACCACAGTGTGAATGTTAGGCCTGTTGTTTGAGCCTGTGTCGACTCACATATAAATATAAATAAATCTATATTGAATCTACATGAAAACACACTCTGCCCTTTGTGCCTCATCAGCAGGTTTCACTGGGGCCGCAGATCAAGTCAGCAATCAACAGATATTTTCTCCTATTGTGCATAAAATCTTGTGTCTTGAGTGATGTTTTTATTGTAGAATTTGTGGAAGACATTTCTCGCTTGTTAGAGATTATAGACTCTAAATATAGACATTCAGGAGAGTTCTGCTTTCATGGACTTTTGGGAAAAAGACAAAATAAAATAATGATAATAATTTTAAAAAAAGATTACAAATATTTTATACATAAATAAGAATACCGTCCGTCCGTCCGTTTTCTTCAGGCCTCTTCAGTTCAGACCCAGTTCGTGTTTAGTCACAGTTAATGGTTTGCAGCGTAGATATGAATCCTCCAATTGTTAAATGTAGTCAAAGAGTTTTAAAAAGTAAAACAAAACGCATGTGTCCTCCATAAACTCCTCTGTTTTGCTGCTGCGGGTGCATCCACTTTCTAAAATCCACCCTCTTTCACTTCACCTCTATTCTTATCACTTCTTAGTCATTGAAAAAATAACCCTAAATGCATTTTAAATAATCTTATAACGTGTTATATGTAGGTTAGCAAACCTGTTGCTGCCCTTAGCGATAAACCAGGAAGAGCAAGGAGCTTATCGATTGAATTGTATGCAAGCCGACTTTCTGCGCTCACATGCGCTCCTCTGTGGCTGACCTCACGGTGTTACCAAGCACGTGGATTGAGCGCATAATTTTTAGGACCAATATTTGTTTCAAAAAACAATTATGAGCCATCCTACTGCAACTGTAGCTTCGTAGATTGGTAAAGGAAATATGTTTTACATCAGCCAATAATTTGCTGAGAGGTATTTGCATCCTCCCTCTCTAGCATGACAATCGCACGCGCACGTGTACTATCACAAAATAAGAAAGCGAGAGAGCTCATTTGTGCGTCTGGAGTAACGGCCCAGTAACCGGGATGTCGGAAGAAATGATAACGGCGATATGTTACAGTCAAAGTAATTAGGTATTAGATTACTCGTTAACTGAAAGAAATGTAACGGCCCGTTATTTCCATCACTGTGTGTGGCCAACTAGAATGGTCCTTCTGGACAAAATGTCATGGCAATTATAGAAAACACAATTTTAGACCATCCATTATAGATTGGATTATTTCAACCTCAAAGGAGTAAACAAGAATGGGAACGTACTCATTATTGAGCTAAGATTCGGGTATTACTTCATTTTGTATCATGTATGGTGAAATCAGGGAACAATGTATCAAATATATTTGGAAACGGTATTTCACTTTTGTATTAGTGAGGAATGTCTTGCCCATAAAAATGGTTAACAATGTCCTTGATCCACACTAGGATTTGTTTTTGATCTGCTAGGACACCCGCATATCAAAGTTATTGGTTTTGGTTAACTCTATAAAAAATAATTGAATGAGAAACGATATGAACAATCACTTACAGCATGAAGCCTCTTAGTTAGATTTTTTGCAGCATGCCAGACATCCAGGGAATGGGTAACTCCATTATACATATATCTTCCCCGTTCTGGATCTATTTTAAAGCTCAAAAATGCAGTAAGCACAAAATATAGCACATCAAATAATGCAGACAAAAATACTTACGCATGGGGGCTGCAATTTGCACATGGGCGTCCGTCACAATCTCTTTGACTTTTAATTCTTTCGATAGATCATCAAATGTTTTGATGAATGCTGCTTTCTCCATAGAGACACTTTTCCCACCAACTTGCCTTTTATCAACATTGACAACACTGATAATGTCCATTGTGTCAAGTTCCATCGTTGTGTATGTGAAAAACGTTGCAGAATGACCTTATTGAATCAAATATGGTGAAACACAACTATGTTGTAAAGTGAAAGGCTTCAGACTTACCTGGTGAGTCCATTCTCCCATCAGCTGTAACAGATATAGTACTTATAGTGACTGCAAATATGACAAAGAGAGTCCTTTAACACAATACTTACCTCTATAAAAGGCTGCACCCCTGCCACAGATAAGTCATCCCTGTTAAAAAATGCAAGTTTGTTTCAGTGATATTGTCAATAAGGCTTGAATCAAACATAATGCCAATCCTATTTTTCTGGTAAAAAAGTACCGGTCAGATTCTACGGGACTGGTTGAACTCGGGAGATCACCAGTCGCAGTAGTGGTTTTAGGAGTTGAGGCCTTGGGACTCCTTGATGCCATAATTTTTTCATAGCTGTAAAGCAAATAAATACACGTTACCTATACACACATGCGTCTCATTGTATTACAGTTGGACTAACCACATTATATTACTAATATAGTCTGCAATTCTACGATACATATAGTACAGGTACTGAGGTATATAATCACTGCATCTGCAAGTTTCATAATGGTTTACATGCACAGTAGCAGCCCAATAATGTACACAGCTGTACTACGCTAACAGATGCTAACGTTCTTTCAAAAGCTCTAATCAACGTAACAGTCATTATTTCTAAACATTCTTTATACAGAACAAACAAAATGCTGAATGTGTCTCGCCAATCTGTTCAGAAAAAAAACGAACCAAATGGAATCAGTCCATGTTGCTAAGTCAAAAAGCGAACACATAATAATGCTATATCACTTCGTATTCGTGCAAGACACTAGGACGTTTAGAACTGAGTCACCGTCTTACCTTCTAATCAAGATAAACGCCAAATGAGGATCAATTTTTATCCCCAGAGCGTTTCGGAGATTTCTCCATTTCTCAAACGCATGGGCGAGAGCGACTCGGGTCTGAGCTCTCCGCCGGTCGGCCTCTCGCTTCGTTCTTTTCGTAGCACTGGTGACAATCTTCCAGACGGTGATTCTGAAGCTGGTCTCTTAGAAGAAACTGCTGGATCCATCTTCAAATACGCGTGATACGAGGACGGGACAGATCCACTGAACGCGAGGGAACATATGGAGCCAAAACAGTGAACGGGCACACGCATTGCGTCACTTCCGCTTAAACAGCGCGCGAGAAACGACCCGAGTCAGGGATTTCTCAATCACTGTATGCGCTCCCAGAAGCAACCACAGTGAATCTGCTAATGCTCAGTTTACACACCAGGCAACTGCTGATGGACCACAGATGC